TGAAAAATCTGCAGGAACTGCATAAACAAATGTTTTCACCATCTTGTGGAATCCATGCCATGAAGAACTGAGGCTGTTTTGAGAGCAAATGGAGACCCTACTCAGTGTTCCCAGCTCAGTGAGCATATACTGCTTGGTAGAAGAAATAACTGTTGCGATTATTAATAAAGCATTCATATCCTACACTATTTATTTATTTTCCCCGATGTCCACTTATGACTTTTGTGCGGTTTTATGCACTAAAACATCAGAATTTACTTTAAGAAGGCCATTTCCAACCTCTCTGCCTGTGCATATTGAAACTATAGCTATCACATACTACTGCTGTTTAGCAATACAGAAACAGTGAACCCTTAAGAAGTAAAAAAAAAAAAAAGGGGGCTGTTTCACTTAAACTAAAAATACGTCAACATTAAACGAACTGTGTTGTATTCAAGTAACTTGTTTATGTAAAATGGATAACAATGAAAGTGCATTTCAATTAATGAAGCCTGTATATTTTGAGTGAAAGAAAATTCCATTCCAGTGATACAATAAATTGCACTAAAATGTTTCAATTGTGTATACTGACGGTATCTGTACAACGGCATTTTAGGGCCACTGGTAATAAAAATAAAAATAGTAGACTTCAAGAATAAAATCGTAATATTTCGAGAATCTCGAAGTCTATTATTTTTACTTTTATTAACAGAGGCCTTAAATGCCGTCGTAGTATTTGTCTGAATGGAAATGGGAATCGTTTTGAGTGTAGTATGCCTCATTTTTTTTATCCTTTAGAAAAATGTGAACCCCCAACTTTTAAACTCAGGGTGAATGAGTGGGCTAAACCAAGCTAAAATATGCTGTTGTGTAAATGACACCACAAAAACAATTCATCCAAACTGGGCGGTATCTGCAGCGGCATTTCTACCTTGTACCTCTACTTTTGGTGTTTCACACTTTTTGCATAATCTAAAAAACTCCAGTTCCCTCTGGCACTTCAAAATTTCCTGATGAACAGAACAACGGAAAATTGGAATAACGTCCATTACAAGTCATGAATGAATTTCGGAGATACAACGTTTAGTCCCAACAATAATGACACACGACCCACATGGACTGTGGAGTTAACAGTAGATCTCAAAGCTTTAAAAATGTTTGCATATATCAAATTCTATTACTTATCAAGGACAACGTGCTTCTCCATGATATGAGCCTTTGAACAGTAAACAATTTATTGAATATTAGCGAATTTTAGCTTTTCACAAATACAGTTATCTTCTCAAGCCTGTGCATTACAGTGATTTTACCACAGCTAAGAAGAACCTCTAATGCTTCAGTCTCTGTTTTTTTTTCCAGGCTCCTTAAAGTGCAGACAGTGCTGGACAATGGATGAGACCAATCAATATGACACATAGGGCAGGGCAAACCGAGGTAATAGAGAAGAAATATTAATAACACAAAGTCTGGGCGTCTCATGATGGTGTATTCCTCCCCTGGAGTGTGATGGATGCTGGGGCTGTTTATAAGCACATCCCGAGCCTGGCTGCGGGAAACGGACATCGGGATTCAATCTCCTGCACCCATCAGTCACGGTGTATCTGAACTGCCATTAAGGTGGCCAGCCGTCAAAAGAGAAGCAAAAAGTTCACCCTGCCATCAGAGCTCCCTCCCGGTGTGTCTCATAAAAGAGACAAATGAGCACAGTAAAGTATCAGCTCCAGCCGCTCCGTCAAGGCCCTCCACAATCACATCAGGCCCATCACAAACACTTCCCTGAGCCGAGCCGCAGCAATCAACAGAACAGCCTGGTTCCTCATAGCAGGAGCGCTTCAATCCAGGATCAGTGCAAACGAATCTTACAGACAAAATCCATTTGATCTACACACAAGGCTCTAACTCTGATGTATTTCAAAAGTGTACCACACAGTCTGTCAGTATCAGCAATAATACAGCATTCAACAGCACTGTAATAATACTGCTGAGGAAAGAGATACTCACTAAGCCAGAAAGAAGATCTATGACTGAAAGTGTACCTGTAAAGAAAAATGACAATCTAGGGCAATCTGACAATTTCTGGTCCCTGCACTGTAAGATATACTATTAACGAGGGATATACAATATACACCAATCAGGCATAATACTATGACCATCTCTTTGTTTCTATGCTCATTGTCCATTTTATCAGCTCCACTTATACAATAAGTGTTGTGCTGGTACGAGTGGATCAGACACAGCAGTGCTGCTGGAATTTTTAAACACGGTGTCCAATCACTGTCCACTCACTATTAGACGCAACTGCGTTGTTGGTCCACCTTGTAGATGTAAAGTCATAGACGATAGCTCATCTGCTGCTGCACAGTTTGTGTTGGTCATCCTCTAGTCCAGGGGTTAGAGCTGGGCGATATGGCCAAAAACGTTATCACGAGAAACAAAATTCATATCGTTCGATATCGATACATATCACGATAAATGTCAAATCATGATTTCTTTCACGTTTGAAGGCTGATTTTGCTCCTGGGTGGTTAATTGTGGTTTTAAACTATCACTTATGGTCCGATCATGACAAACACTCTGCAAACAGTGGAACATTTCACTAATCTGTCATGGAAGAGTGGGAGAAAGTTTCTGAGCTGTTTTTATCAGCTTGAAATGCACAGCTGCAATTTCTAATAGTCATGATTTAAGAAAGAAAACTTTTATTTTTAGCTGTCTGGTGACGAGCGCTCGGCTACCCCGCTACAAATGCTGAACAAGTGGCCAACAACAGTGCTAAACTCTTTAGTTTCTCAACAACGTCAACTCGGAGGTCACTGCGGTCACTCCTACCACATCCATGTCAGAGCATATCACAGTATTCAGATACCAGCTAGCGACGACTGGGTTTCTCTATGCTATCGTAGTAGTTTAAGGGGTGAACCGCAGTATATCTGACGCTCGCTGTGTAAAAGCATTATCTGCAGTGTGAATCTCTCACACCAGTCACAGAGTCCTCCTTTTAGGTATGTTTAAACTGAAAGCGGTGATTTTGTGTCTTGTTTGATCTACTGTATCATCAATTCACCGTGTTGTGCCGGAGCGCTGCTTCAATTAGCCAGCAGCTAAAACCAGCTAGCCTGGAAAGACAGCGCTCTCCCGCTCTCCAATGCCTCACAGCTTCCTCTGTTTACTTTCGAACATGAACCACTTCTTTCTTTCACTTTCGTTGCTCGAGAATGCACTAACACTAAAATATGACGGTTTGGTTCTGTAACACGGCGCTGCAGACGTGATTTAACACCACTAAAGTTGTTAGGATGTTAGTAAAGAGGTGAGTTCGCTGTAGGACAGTACAGTTACACCACTGACCTCGTCACTCACACTCGGTCACAGGAGAACAGATCGCCGGTCGCTCCGCTCAAACAGGGACTGTATAACTCCACGTTTCAGACGTTGCTAAAGTATATTTGGCGACCCTTTTTTTACTCGTGGCCCCCTCCCTCTCTAATCAAGTCAAAAAATTCAGAAGTGCGCACTCTCCTGGTGACAGCAGAGTAGTGTCGCTTTCCTTGCAGTAGAAAACGCCACCAGGGCTTTCGCTGAACGTGGAAGTGTGAGAATGGTGTATTATATCGAACATTTATCGAACCTGTCTTATCGCTCTATTGAGGAAAAGTTATATCGCGATACTTATCGTTATCGTTTTATCGCCCAGCCCTACCAGGGGTATTTAATTAAAATTCAATAAGGTCCTGTTAGGGAAAATTTCCACAAGCGAAGGTCCGGAACATCATAAATGTCTAACTTGCATCATGATTCAGTGCCATATACTGTTTACTGAAGTAGTAGTTATATAAACATCTTATACAGTCAACAACTGAATGTCAAATCAAATAAAGTACAATTCAGAAACATTTCAACAACATTTACTGTCAGTTTTCTCTTTTTACGACATGTGAAATAACTTCCCTCTGACTCACTTTCTTCTCTGACTGCTGTTTCTCGCCTTGTCCCTCCCCTGTGCGTGTATTACTCACTCGAGTGTCAGTGCTCATCGTAATGCACAGATCCGATTGGCTGAGTAGCGTCACGTGTGAGATTTATAGCGCATGCAATGGGTCTGTGAGTTTCCCGGGCCACTAAAGCGGGACTGTAAAGGCTAGAAAAGTTACGCCGATTAAAATAGGACCACCCCGTCTAAATTACATCATTCTCCATAGTTCATCGGTTATAGGCCCAAGTCCGGACTCAGACCGCAGTCCGCCTATTAGTGACCTCTGCTCTAGTCCGTCATTAGTGGTCACAGGACGCTGCCCACAGGACGCTGTTGGCTGGATATTTTTGGTTGGTGGACTATTCTCAGTCCAGCAGTGACACTGACGTGTTTAAAAACTCCAGCAGCACTGCTGTGTCTGATCCACTCAGACCAGCACAACACACACTAATACACCACCACCACGTCAGTGTTACTGCAGTGCTGAGAATGATCCACCACCCAAATAGTACCTGCTCTGTGAGGGTCCATGGGGGTCCTGACCACTGAAGAACAGGGTAAAAGGGGGCTAACAAAGTATGCAGAGAAACAGATGGACTACAGTCTGTAACTGTAGAACTACAAAGTGCACCTATATAGTAAGTGGAGCTGATAAAATGGACAATGAGCGTAGAAACAAGGAGGTGATGTTGTGCCTGATCGGTGTAAAATAACAAGTAAAAGGCCTATGTACATTTCCACATTTGAGTCTAGCTATATTTCAGATCAAAGCCTTAAGAAATCCTGCACACTGTGAACCTGAGGTATTGGTGATGATTCACTGTCTCTGAACACGGATCACAGATCACATTCTCCAACAGGAATCCTGACTATATTTAGAATATTTAAACATTATTTAAAACACTAAAGAATTATAATAAGACCATTTCCTAAGTCATCAAATCCAGCAGGAACAATGACTCAAGCATTGCACATTATTATGTCACAGGTCATGTTACTATAAAATAGATTTAAAAAAAATAAATAAAGTAATAATACTTAAACTCACAAGCAATATGGAGACTGGCCTCTCTGCTGAGGATGGTCCCAAAAGAGTTGGAGGCCAGACACTGGTAAATACCAACATCCTCCTCTTTGTTGAGTTGACTGATACGCAGGTTCCCTCCAGAGACGCCGTAGCGCGAGCCAAGGCGCGGAGAAATGAAGGTGTCATTCATTTTCCACCTGTAAAACATGAATTCATGAGTAAGATTGGGCAATGTGACAATATGATGCTGTTTTCATGATAAATTACATCACAATGTGCTTTCCTAAGCTCAGCACAGGTATTGCCAGCATTTCTAAGAGGGTAATGAAACAGTATGAGGAACAAAAACAAATGTAAGTAGAAACAAATCACAACCAAAAATATAATCTTTAACTGTTCTGGAACAGAAACGTTCTCTTTTACCAGTTAATCACACAATTTTTCAGTTCCTTGCAGCACACTGGCTTGTTGTTTTTAACTCATTATATTGGTTTTACCTCCAAATTCCCAAACGTCCATGTCTCACATGATTTCATTAAATTCATCTCTTAACAAGAGTATATGTAACGTACACTGTATTTGTGTGCTTAGACTACAGATTCATTTGGTATCCATCTTTAAATCGGTAATTAAACTCTACTGACAGAGTAAAACACTGTACTTAGACTTTTTTTAATCAAGACAACCATCAGCAAATTATTAAAAGGCCATTGCGTAGCTAAAGTTCATTTTGTTTTAACTGGTTTAGGAGCGTTATACTGGGGTTAGACTGCAAAAACAACGTAAAAACGTAAAAATACTGGTTCCGCTCAGAGCAAACTGATCGATTTTTTAATTCCATTTCTCAGTGAAGTCTAGAGTCACTACGTAATGCTAACTTCCTAGTTCAAAATGCTAAGCTACAACGCTGCACTGTGATGCTGCAGCCAATCAAAGCTAGGCAAGCTGGAAATGACAATGACAAATCTGCCACCAGGCTAATATTAGCTCGATTAAAACTCTTAATATTGTAATTTGTGATCAGTCTCTCTTTACAGAACTGACTCTCTGTGTGTTTTCCTTTCTTTGCCGAGTTGAACAGCTGCCCATCCTGTGCATCCGATGCTGTTGCTTCTTCTGCCTTAATCGGGTGCCCACTGCTTGCCAGCCTTCTGGACTGGCTTGACCACCATTGAGCTTCATGCTGTACAACGCTGTGCAAACCTAACCCTCACTGTTTTCCCCGTTTTGTACTATAATACTTTATACTAACGCTGTTTGCTATCCGGTGTCGACCAGAGGAGGATGGTTTCCCCTTTACAGTTGGGGTTCCTCTCAAGGTTTCTTAAGGTTTCTTGCTCTTCCTCACTTCCTCTTGAGTTTTTCCTTGCCACTGTCGCCACTGGCGACGCTCATGGGGGCTTGGACCCGGATTTTTCTGTAAAGCTGCTTTATGACAACACCTGTTGTAAAAACCGCTATATTAATAAACTTTAAACTTTGATTACACAACGAAAAATACTATATCCAATCTACTTAACGTGACCCTTCACATGCATATAAAGCAAGCATCACTTAATTAGTTAGCTCCTCCCGTGCAACTCTGCACATCGGGCAACAAGTGTTCGCCAGTGGAGTCGATCAGCAGCGATAGTTTACACGTCTTCCTAGCGGGTATCAGTGCTCTTAAGGTCTGTTTGGAATGTCCTCCACCAGGTGTTCAGTGGTCAGCCAACCTTTCTCTTTCCATTCGGTGGTGTCCAGCGCATTACAATTTTCGGACGTCGGACAGACGAAGGGCATGCCCAGCAAAACACATCCTGTGCTCTGTAACAATATCGTCCAATCTGCGAGCGCCTGCTCTTCTTAAAACCTCCTCATTCGTGATGTGGTCGTGGTAGATTACTCGCAGGATTCTCAGACAACGCTGCTGGAATACGTTCAGCCTCTCAGTGATCCGCTTTGTGTGCTTCCAGGTCTTGCTGGCATAGACGGCTGTCGGGATGACAGTGGTGTTGAACAGGCGGATCTTAATTGCGGTAGTGATTGATGTTGTGGACCAGATTTGGTGCAGCCGCTGGAACACTGCCGATGCCTTGCCAATCCTACGGTTGATGTCCGCTTCTGTGCCCCAACCTTAGCCACGATGCTGCTGAGGTATGTAAACTGATCGACTTCGTCGACTTGCAGGTTCCCGATCGCAACCCTCATCTGCGTTTTGCGGTTGACACTTATGATCTTCATCTTCTCTGCACTGGTTTGTAACCCAACCATTGCGGCTTCTTCCTCAATGCTGGTGGTCATTTGTTGGGGGGTTGGCTTTGTTCGCGCAAGCAGCGTAATGTCATTTGCGAAATCCGGGTCGGTGGGACGGACTTGGTCCTTCCACGGATTGCCGAACCCTGTTTTGTCCATTGCTCAGTTCATGATGAAGTCGATCACGAGGAGAAACAGGAATGGAGAAAGATCGCATCCCTGTCTGACGCCCGTTTCGATGTCGAAGAAATCCGTCTGGCCATTTTCTGTCTTTACACAGCAGCTTGAGTCTTGGTACAGATTTTTGAAGATGTAGCACTGAGGGATACCGTAGATTGCCGCAATCTGTCACAGTGATTCCCGATGAACACTGTCAAAGGCTTTCTTAAAGTCGATGAAGTTGACCAGCAACGGTTTCTGGAATTTGATGCACGGCTCGATGATATTCTGCAGCATGAAGACTTGCTCGCTGCACGACCTTCCTTGTCTGAACCCAGACCCTGAAATCACTTAATTAGGCACTCTAAATTTAGAATAGGTTAAAATGTATGAAAGAATGTATTCGTGGGTTGATTTTGCCATTTACAAATAATCAGACTTTCATTCATTTTTTCCTGCTTTTACGTTCCATTTATTTATTAAGCAGATCGTCTGCATCTTATTGTACAGGATAAAATGCATTTTAAATAGTCAATTTGCACCATGATCCACCACTTCAGCTACAGTAACTCTTCAACATGGTTTTCCATGCAAGTAATGCTTTCTTTGTCTTAGCAGACATTCTAATCACTCATGTCACTGTAAGACTTCAGCAACCATTCACAGTGTCACATAATTGCATGCCTTCATCATTATAAAACTCTCATTACTGCAGAAAACCGAACATTTATCAAGTAGGTACAGATATTCAGACAAATAGGTCTGTCTGTGTCTACCGCAGCAGACAAATACGATTGTTATTGATGCAAAAAGAAGAAACAAACTCCACAAGGTAACGTACAGAACCCGATAGGTCTTAGCAGTTTATACAGTCATGATGCATTGACCCAAAAATGCTTTCAAAAGGAAAAAGAGAAAAGGAAAAGACCACATTTTGCACCCTTTCTTTAAACACATTCAAAACGGAGGCAGCCTCATTAAAATGTCAGGCAAAACTGCCCATGAATCACTCAGCATATAGCAGAGACAGTCAAACCAGCACACAGTGGGAGGGAAAAAATGAATTCACAGACACAGGAGTGTTATAGCATCAAGAATTAGGGACCAGGAGTTAAGAACAAGATCAAGAGTAAAACTTTTTGCCCTTGGCACATTAACCATTATACTGAAAACATGGCCATCTATTGTCACTGAACACGACTAGCCTGGTAATTAAAATAATCCAAGCAAAAGGAACAAGTCGGAAATAGGATCATATTTTAAAGAACACCAGTCACAAGAAAGTATGGTAAACCAGTGCAGGGTTTGTGTTTGCTGGTATTTACTTTTCCTTGCCCTGTTTTCTGTATTTAGAGGAACAAAGCTACATAATACTGAATATATGAAAACAGGGGGAAAAATTCCACATATTAGGATCCCTTCCAGATGAAAAGTCACAAAATCTATAATATTGTCATAGCTAAAAATGTAATCACAAGCTCTGCAAAATATTGCATTGTAAATGGTTGGATATTAAAAATAAAGTAGAAAAAGTAGAAGTTTTAAAAACAGAACATTTAATAGCATTAGAGTGCCTTGTCAGACCGTAATTCCAGCTTTCAGTGAACATACATCCTTTCCACACAGTTTAAATGGCACTTTAAAACTCTGAGACACTAAGCTCAAAGGGAGAGAGGGAATGAGGAAAAAAAGAGTGAGTGAGAGAGAGAGAGAGGGAGAGAGAGAGAGAGGGAGGGGGGGTGAGACGCTGCAGTCGAAGCGATAAGAGGAGCAGCTGAAGAAATGGCTTTTCAAGGCCGAATTAAGTTCAAATTAGACCCAGTATGAGCTCAACTGCCGAAATGGAACTTTCACAACTTATTCAGAAGTGAAGCCAAATAGCTCAAGTAGAAAAATAGTTTTTTTTTTCATTCCAATCTTTATCTGCTACATCCTCCTGAGAAAAACCAGCCACGAAAAGAGAACTCTCCAGCAGAGGGGAAGTCAGCAGCTAGCTGTCTGATTAGATTGATCTGGTGATTGGATGTTGCAGCTGGATCAGGCCGTGGAGGAGATTCAGATGAGACAAATCAAGGACTGCGGTGACAACTCGGAGAGTCACTCAGTAATGGCAGACGTGCAGGTCTCGGGCCGAGACAAATTAATGTGTCCTTGGCTACCTGAAATAGAGCTTCCTCTTCACTAAAAAGACATGCTCTGGACAGAGAGCGACTTCCAAGGTCTTCGAACCTGAGCTCAAATTACAACACAGATGCAATATGAAGTTTTCCTTGGACCATTTAAAGCCTCCATTTGAACGGAACATTTTTTCAGATCATGAAGTAAACAATACAATCATCAGAAATATTTTTCAGTCAACAGTGGTTCACGTTTGTTCCAAGTAGTCTATACTTGTATACTTATATTTCATGATAAAGGTGCCAAAATATAAGTAATGGCATAGAACAACAACTTATGGTTACCCAGAGAAACTTTCAATGGACGGTTCTTTAACCCTTGTGTGGTGTTCAGGTCTGTGGGACCCATTTTCAACGTTTACCAAAAGAAAAAATGAAGATTTTTACTTTTATTTGATCCCCAGATTCTTGTCCTTTGCTGATTTTCAGTGAAGAACATATAAAATAACCCATTTTCAGTGTCTTCACTCTGTTCACCCCCCACACATTTATATTACACATGTGGTGTTGGGCTGAACCCATGGGGAGTAAAAGTGTGGAGGTGCTGTGTCCTTCACTCTGTTCTCCTCCTACATGGCCTGCTGTTAGTGTGTGTGTGTGTGTGTGTGTGTGTGTGTGTGTGTGTG